CAACTCCACAGCAAAACAATTAGTTCCATACATCACAAAAAGACTGAGATAGGAGTGAATACTGTTTTTGGTACATATAGTCTTAAACTGCATAAACAGTGAACTTTGATAAGCTTAAAACAAAAATCTTCCAATATGGGACTTTCTACTGTTTGTTAGCCCAGTCACAATAACTTTCAGACACTAGAAAGATAATTTTGAATCAACTGTAACGTGCAGGGTAAGGTGCCAATATAGTTTTTGATTACAGCCTGCAACAAATCTGAAAATTCGTTAATTTCCCCGATAATTCTGTTTCTTGTACATTTGTGCCTGCAGAACACAAAAATTAAACAATTTCTTTCCCAACAAACACAAACTTTTGAGAAACCGAGTGTAAAATAAAAATTAATACACTTAAAATATAAACTATTGGACACTTTTGGGATGTCATGAGTTGTATCCAGTAAACAAGCACTAAATATTTTAAGTACATTTATTTAATGATAACAGAAGACCCAACCCAAAATGTTTTGCTTTATGTAAACTATTTGTGCCTCAAACATAATTCGGAGCTCATGTTGAAAGTTCCTGTACAATGTAAGTCATGTCACTCGATTCTTCAAGCTGCTTTGTTCTCACAAGCTGTTCAGACGTAAAATTGCAGTGCACCAAGTGTAACACCCAGGCATTTAATTCATTTTATGTATTCAAAGCATTAACTTTCTGTCTTAAAAATATTAATGAGCTGACTCCCTTGTATTGTTTGTGGTAAAAATGTGTAACATTTGTAATCGTCTAGTCATGAGGTCGAGCTCAGACTATGACCACTCATCAAAGTTGAAGTAATGTTTCCATCTTCAATACATCCACACCCGCACATGTCACGAAGGGTCAGCGGAACAAAGACCTATATTTGTCACTGTCCTTTTGAAAAATCCACATTCAATAAGTTCAAAACTTCTTATAACTGGATACTTTGACAGGCCATTGCAGTATTTCACCCCTAGGAGGTCGGACCCCTATTAATTGGGTTTATGCAAAAGTAGGCATAAGTGACCTAGGGTCAAAACAACCAATCAGAGAAAAGTTATTCTGACTTAAATTTAAATTATTCAACCAATGACAAAACAATGAGGGAAGTCGAACCAATGATGTTATAAAATTTCAGATTTCGGAATGAGTGGGAGAAATTAATATATTTGGAAGAAAACTTCTTTTAGAGTCCGTCGTCGGTCAGTTGTTGCAGGTTGAAACGTTGTCACGGACGCATCGGTGAAGTACATTAACTTTTACCAATATCGCGCGGAGAAATTAATTCAGCAATCACCTGCAATAAATACCTAAAGACACAGCTGACGCGATCTTTAATTAAACCCCGTAAACCCAGCATAAGAATCTCATAAGATCCTTCATCAAACCCGATCCCACCTTGGCAACAAAGCAAAGAAAAAGAAGAACCGTTACACTTCCCAAAAAGCTCACAAGCTTTACTTTGGATGAAAAATTTCGTGAAAATTCATATCCACAACTGCCATGATTTGACAGAACAAAATCAAGCAAAAATACATTAAATAGAAATGTGTTGCTTCTCTTTCAAAAATAAAGTATTTAAATTGTCCAGCAGTAATATAAACTGTACCACACTGCTAATTTAATCTCATATTCAATCAGCATGAATTTTGTACTTCAGATAACAATGAAACAGCAGGAAACAAGATAGTGTCAAAGCCACAGAAATAAATCAAAATAGCCTCATCCAATTACTCGGGCACAAATAATGGTCTGATTCAAGATTGACATCCATGTAGCACACATGGGAGAGATGGTAAATGAATTTCAAATTTCGTTGAAAAACATGAAGGGAAGAGACCATTTGTAATACCTAGGCACAGATGGGAGGATAATATTAAAATAGATCTCAGGGAAATAGGGTTGATGGTTATAGACAGAACTGTTCAGGCTTCGGACAGGGACTAATGACAGCTCTTCAGAACACAATAATAAACCTTCAGGGTACATAAAAAGTGGGAAATTTCTTGACTATCTGAGTGCGCTACTAGCACGTGAAAGGCTGAACTGCATGGGTTTAGTTGCCTGGTTAATATTTACCCACCAGTTCATATTAGTCATGCTGTACGCATGAAAGCTAAAAATGCTGCTTTCAGGAATAAGACTTCAGAGCACAAAGTACCACTGTTTTCTACACAAGTGGGATATACAAGCAAAACACTTCTCATACATCATTAAGCACTAGCCATGCTTTAGTTCCCAGTCAAAGAAAATGTAACCTGTAATTTAACTAAGCCTACAAAAATCTACTTACCCCTTCATACGAAACTTTAGTAAAAGGAAGTCAAGACCATGTACAGAGTAACGGAAGTCACACAGCCCACATTAAAATATTTATGGATGGTTGCAATTCAACACAATTGAAAATAATTAATACACAATGTCACTAATTATACAAAAGCCGACACACAAAATCTAATCATACCAGTCTGTCAGTTGTCTTTTAACAGTCAAAGTGCAAGGATGTATTTTTTCGCAGTTGCAACACGTGAATTTAACTTAACTTTCCCCATTCTCCTGCACCAAACAAATCAACAATATCTTGTCTAGTGAACCTTCAACTTTCAGTGTTAAGTGACAATACAGAATGTGGTGGAAATTTCCAACATTTAATATAACATTGTCTTTTTTTTTTGATGTTAAATCAATTTATATTTTGACAAACAGAACATGTGTCAGGAGTGGGTTGCGTGACTTTTCGGTCAGTCTGTATAAAGAGGTTCAAGACGGTATCCAGTAAAATAACTCTAAAAGGTATTTAACAGTTTTTCTTATGGACTGTCTCCATCATTTTGTATGTTAAAATACTGCCACAGGTGATAAAACAAACTTATTCTGTGGGGCCCTCTTACAAAGAGATCCTCCCAATCTCTGGAAAACTTTAAGTAAACTGATAAGACCTATATTAGCCAATGAAACCAAGCAGTGTCGATAGGAGATAAAAAGAGGACATTAGAATAAAATTATAAATTGTATCTGAAGACACAGAACTAGAAAACCCTTAAGGGCATAACTAACGCCATTAAACCAACTCAAAAATCAGATGGCCAAAGCAACTATGCTAACATTTTCATTACAGGGGCCATCTATGGAGTCTGCTGGCAATTATCCACAAACTAAGAATTTGGGCAGATTCCCTGACTTTTCTATATCTGCTCTAGTTTTCAATTTGCAAAATATTCACCTCTTCTCAACTTATCCTCTAACCTTCATCAGTGTGTTAGGTCAATTCTGATTTCTCCGTAAGACCCTAAGGTTGCATTTATGAATGAATCCACATGCCCATTTGCCTCCCAGCTTCTGCTGAGTTCACATTGAATGTTATAAAGAAAATCATTAGAACAGTGACAGGCATAAAAAGGACAGCCCCTTGTAGGGAATTATTTAAGAAATGTAATAATCAATTAGTTGGCAAATTCTTGCTACCATCATCATCATTCGCAGCAGACAACACAGAAACAAATTCGGATAACCACAGCATAGTTACATGATACAGATATAACCTTTATGTGCCAAACACAAAGCTCAATAAACATCAAAAAAGAGTTTAATATACTGGAATTAAAGTAAAATAAACACTGTCCCACTATATGCCATGTAGGCCATTTGGGGGGGGGGGGTTTTGGGGGGGGGGGGAGGTATAGGTCCTACTCTTTCTTAACCTTGGACTAGGTGGGAATGAGTGCAGAGGTTAGAGGAAAAATTCTCTGCCACTGTTGGGGATTGAGCCCCAATCGTACAGTCCGTAGTCAGTCACTATACTGATTGAGCTACCAGGGTTCTTCAATAATCTTTCCCCCCCGTTATAAAAATTCTGAATCACAAAAGAAAGGAGTTTAAGCTAGCACTAAGAGAGTATTATTGCCTGTCTCACTCCTAATCCATAGAAGAATTTACCTCAATCAAAAATTCTCAGCTATTATAAATACATGTATGCAATGGTGGTTATGCTTTCTTGTGGAATTATTTTTGTGGTAATGCTGTAGTTGATAAAATTACTGTCATAACTGTCAATTATTTGTATTACACACAAGAACTGTATTTGTGCTAGGACATGTTCTACATTCTTTGCTTAAGCATATGAAGGATCTATGTATTGTAAATAAATTCTATCCTATTTCATTTGTACCTTCTTGATCTTCCAAGAGGACAACTACCTCTATGGAGCAGAGCATGAAGTTTACATTGACCATTTAGTCAAATAGTAACAATGTGTTCAGCTTGACATAAATTGTAGCCCTTGCAGTTATTACACATGTATTTACGATAACATACAAATGTCACGGCAAGGGCTATCCGAGAGTTTCAGAAGCATTTTCAAGTTTTACTGCCTAATTTTGTTTCTAAATGGATTACTTTATCTTCAATTCCCAGGGTATTTTAGAATAAAGTTCACAGAAACAATCTTTAAGGCAATGCAAAACAAAGAACACTACACCAAAACTAAGCTACAAGAACTCAGTATGTCGTAATAAAAACGTCCAAAAGGTGATGCAAAAACTGCCCGCCCAAAATTCATTTTGCAGTGCCATAAATAGAAGATTTGTGTAAGCATATGGTACTGGTAATTCTACGAGTATTATTTGAATTATACCGATGGAAATGAGGCGAAATAAAAACACCTATATTTAACAAATTAAAATCATTCTGGGCAGAATCTTTTGCACCAAACAATCATTATGACCTACATAAAAATGTCACTCACCGCGAAGATTGGTAATGGACGAACTCGGAACACCTGTTTCACCAACCTTCATCAAATTCTTCGAGAGAAAACTGTCTACTCACAGAGAAACTTTAACACACGGGGCAAGACGTTAACAGACGAACTAAATAACATCCCATTAATGTGATGCATAAACTTGTAAAAGAAGACGAAATACAAAACACGACGAACATCAACGCTATATTACCTG